GCTGCCGAGTCCATAAAAACCTCCAGCTCAGCAAGTCTTCGACCTTCCCCTTTCAAGTGGCAGCGGCGAGGCCTTGTCGGCCCGCCGAACTTTCTCCCTCCCTCTTCCCCTGGCAGCGGCAGCGAGGCTTCATCGGCCGCCAAGCTTTCTTCCCCCCCTCAGCTCCCCCAGCAGTGGCAGCAAGGCCGGATCTCCCTTCGGCAAACTCTCTCCCCCCATGGACGACGGTACTCTCTCCTCTCCGGTGGTGGCGGCCAGGGATTTGCGGCTTACAGTCGCAAGCCGGCCAAGCCTGTGCCGCGCCCGTGGCGGCCAGGGATTTGCGGCTTACAGTCGCACGCCGGCCAAGCCTTCCCCCCACCCCCTCCCCTTTTCTGGTGACGGCGGAAGCGAAGCCATTCCCCCCGATACTTTTTTAAAGTTTTCAGATTTTTGTGCACACCTGGGGACTGCCCCAAGTGTGCACAAAAGTCTCCCTCCCCCCCAGGTGCCCCCAATGCGCGGATTTAGGTATCCGCACGCACGGGGGTGACTTCGCTATTAGTATATAGATTAGCAAACAAATGGATATCATTGGACAAATAAATATCATTATCAATATCTATTTTATCCCCTTTTTTGGCAGTCTCATTTAATGTTAATAAAAAGCAAATTTGCATATTTTCCAATTCTTCATGTCTTGTGGCTCTCAAACATCTGATGTTTATTCTATGTGGCTCTTACATTAAGCAAGTTTGGCCACCCCTGATGTAAGCCAACAATGATTTCTTACTTTTTCCAGGTCTTCATTCACTCAGGTTTCCCGAAATTGACACAGTGGCTCCAGGGCTTTTCAGATTTTTCTTGGCACATATGTATGTGTAATAAATTAAACCAGTTAAAACTGATTTTCGAACTGCTTTCTTTCCTAGAAGGCAAGGATCTAGACACAGTAACACATGGTCTAGATTAGACTGCTTCAACACACTCTATATGGGGAGTCCTTTGAAAAGACTTGGAAACTGCAGTTGCTCCAAAATTCTGCAGCGTATGGGATATACATATTGTAATTAATAAATTGGCAAAAAATCTTAATACAATCTGTCTTGTCTTTATTTACTGATCAATAACATAAATGTAAAGGCTATATACAGGGAAGGATTACTATCAGGAAACAGAAGTCCATCTTGTTTCGAAAAGCTTCTGAGAAATGGGTCCTCCACAAAGCTCTGTATGTTAACATTTTCTTTATCCTATTCTGCATACTTTCTCATTACCCTTTCAATTTCCTGCTCACTTGTGCCTCTTACCTATTTCCACTTCCACTGTAACATTATTAATATTCTCCCTAATCCTGTAAACATTTTCTAAAACTATTTACAAAGTTAGAAGCCCACTGGGTCGGTCTACAGATTGGATATGCTTAGGGTTCTTCTAGCTAATATTTGGCTTCATAGCAAAAAAGAAAAAAAGGGAGGGGGGGAGTTATTGCCTTATGATGCTTCAGGCTTTCTTCCGAATTTCCCTGAATCTGAGCTATTACAGTTGTGAACGAGACTACATTATATTTTGCACACCACTATAACAATTTCCTGCTTGGCATCTAGACAAGGAGTTTCAGAAATATATGGCAGGTACAAATGTAACATTAAAGCAGCACTTGATGTATTTTTACTCTTGTGTTCTGAGCCTGCCCTTCTGCCTTCACTATGTAAAAGATATTCACATATATCAGTGATTCTAATACTGTCAGTCTTGCCCTTCCGCTCGTGTCTCATGTTGCTAGTCATAAACAGCTTCTGCTACAAAACTGTAGAACTAGTTTTGGCTGAGCTTAATCTTGAAGATAAACTCATTCATTTGAACAGACTGCAATTGGTATATTTTAATTTGAATAGAATAAAGCTTCAGTCCTCCAATAATGTTGCATTTGTATGCAGCTACATGCTAGTATCCAATAGTGATACAAGGAATTCCAGTGATTCCTCAGCAGGAGGGGGCAGTTGTAGACAGTGTAGCTTTTAAACAGAGATCAGAGTTGTGGCTGTGAGTTCTATGATTTCTGCAAGGTTGCCCATTCCACCTGTTAGGACTAAGCAATCCATTTCCCAGTCTTCTTTTGTATTCTTGTGCTCATTGACACACCCACTGAATGGCACTGCCTTTTAGACACATTACAGTTTTAGGCAAATCCATTGCTGTCATTGGCTATTTTATCAGGTCCTAGTCCAGAATTCCTATTAATATACTGCGGCATCCACAGTACTGAATCCAGTCTCTTTGTGCTGCCCTTTGTTGAGCATGCTCAGCCCATCAGCAGGTAAGACTGGTTTGAGATATGTGTGGGAGATGTGGATTGTTCCCCAGAAACTTCTGCACTTCTTTCCTCTTTCACTTTACTGGGGGAAGGCGGTACGCTGCACAAGGTAAAAAAACTACGGTGGACCTTGGGATTTAAAGCAGTGTGTGAACCATGTTCCAAGGGCACGGGGAAGGTGTCAGACCCATCCTGTGTGCCATCGAAATATTCATTTTCCTGCTTGCTCTCTTGGGTACTGCTAGGACTCAGCACCATGTAGTGCTGGTAGGAAGAAAGCTGGTTCTCACTTTCCATCTGCTCTATTGCATCTGGAAGAAGGTCATAGCTTCTTATATCCAGGGGCATCTCAGACAGGACTTCCAGTGGGCAAGTCAAAGGTGTATTCTCCAAAGTCTTGTTGCAGAAGAAAACATTCACCTGGAAGGAAGAAGGGTACAGCATCAGAGACACAAGAATGCCTCAGGGCTCCCTCTCTACTCCAGGTTACATGTCTGTCTGTCTTCTAGGTCCTAGTCCAACATCCTCACCACTACACCACACTCTTGGCTCTTGTATGGAGAAGAAAGGCCTCACCTGCTGATCTTGTTTGCTACTATCCTCAAGGAATCCATCCAGGACATGCTGAAGGTCTGGGATGGGTGGCCAGAGTTTTTGTTTCACACTGCTTAACAATGAAAACAATGTCAACCCAGAGGAACAAGGTTGATCTCACTGAACAGATGAGACTCTGCATTATGGGTTTTGCTCCCTAACAAATCTGTCTTTATCACAAAGTATCACCCGTTTCCTTTGTGGGTTTTCCCAAGCAACACACTCAGTTTTATGTAGTGGAGATGGGCTTTGTGTTAGTCAGGCTGGGGCTCAGTTACCTGTATGTAGAAAGGCAAATGCAGCCCAGGCCCAGCACAAGTCCAGCACAGAACAATAGTGTGATTGACACACTCAAGACAGTTGAACCTAAGACAGAGACAAAGAGTAAGGCACTGGCAGAGTCATGCTAGATCTTTTCTGAATGTCTGTCTCTGTAGAATTCAGCCTTGTTTGGAATCCATGTCAGTGGCAGGCTCTCAACTGCTTCCTCCCAACCCGTCCAATCTTATACTTCCTGTTTCTGTTCTTGGTTATCACTTACCTGATCCAGGTGGGATTTCAATGCATTCAGCGCTGGACCAGGCACTCCAAAACCCGTGGTACCTCTGTCCATCTGGCCGAGTACGCAGCTGTAGGCAGTAGTGACTTCCAGTGACCGGATCCAGGATTTCAGTGTTTGTTGAATACTGAACATGCAACACCTGCACAGAGAATGGCCTTATTAGGTGTGCTGTGCTTTTTAGATTCCTAGAATTCACACCAGGAAACTAGGACATCATTATGTGTATCATTATGATATTTAGATCAGTACTCTGAAGTGGCTTTGCTCTGCGTGGGTAACAAGATGGACAGAAGACCATGACAAGGTATTTTGTCACACAAAGTAAGGTACGTTTTGGCTGTCCTCCACCCCTTCCCAGTTAGTTCCTGAACAGCACAATATGGATTCATGAAAAATAACCTACAGTTTCCTGAGTATTGTCAGTATTATCCCCATATTGCAGATGTGAAAGTGAGAGATAATGCTTTGTCCAAGACCGTCCTAGGAGTTCACAAGGGGGCATGAGGTTTGAAGCAGGACCTTCAATTTTCTAAATCACCAGGGTTTTACCACTTTACACAACAGCTAAGTGTGTGCTCAAAAGTTTAAAACTTGATTCAAATTTATTTTGAACCATGGCCAACTAGCAAGCTAAGAAGCCTCATAAGATGATTTGTCTCAAATGAGCAACATCTGACTGGCATATACATTCAAGAAATAAACTTTACAGAGTTGAAAGCCAGCAACTTTGACTTCTTATTTTGTCCCAGGATCAATCATAACACAAAATAGGGCTGACATCCAAGATGGGAAGAATTCATGGTTCCATAGGGGGACCACAAAGAAATGTCCAAGAAAGTTAGCTGTGGAGAATGACTGAACACCCTGGATCATTTGTGGGAACATGGATTGTTTCACTTGGTGCCTTAACTGTTTTAATCCTGTTGTATTTTATTGCACAGTTGTGCCTATGTAAGCCGCCCTGAGCCCGCTTGCGGGGAGGGCGAGGTATAAGTGAAATAAAAATAACCCCCCCCCCCCCAGCCTACCTTACAGGATTGTTGTCAGCTCATGTAAATGGACAATTTTGAAAACTCCAAGGATTTATCTACATCACAAACTGATAGCAGAAAGTGCTTTATTGGCCCAGGTATATGAAGTTTAATGTGCAATTAATGTGGGGAAAACTTTTTTCCCACCATAGAGAACAATGGAGGGGATAGGGGCCGCCTGTTTGGGGGCCCGTAGAATTGGACCCCCTGGTCCAATGCTCTTGAAACTTGGTTGGTATCCCTGGGAGAGACTCCAGCAACTACCTGGCGAGTCTATAGTCTCTCCCTCAATCCCCCTCAATATACCCTATGTTTTCGCCATTGACTTCAATGGCCCATAGGATATAATGGGGCTGAAATTGACATTTGGCTGGCCGAAAAAGCTTGTACTGACGAAACTGACATGCGGGAGTCTTACTGCTAGCTGAAATTGATTCTGCCCGATTCGGCCAAATCTGAATGGGCCAAATTTGTTTATTTTTGCACACCCCTACTTTAGAGCAAGCAGAGGTGGGTGCTCCATGAATGTTCCATGTTTCCTCGTGTGCCCCTCTTGTACCTAAATATTACCTTCCACTCCAGGCTGTCTTGCGTGGCATACCGAATCTGATATACCATGTGCTCAGCTAATGCCTCCAGAGGTGTGTCCCACTCCAGTTTTAGTATCCCTTTCCCCACATTCAGTTGCAGGATCCTTGGTGGGGCAGTGAGCACTGAAATCAGAAGGAGAGGCATGTTTGTCAAAGCAACTTAGCTTGATTTGATAGCAAAGGTCCAGTGCTGGGCATACAGTACCATGTGCTTGTTCTTCTGATGCCAGACCCACCAGGACCATTCTAAGTCACTCCCATCCCACCCTGCCAAGAAATGCAGTCTGACAGAACCCATGGGGATATGGTCTAGACATGCAGGAGATGCCTACCTACTTGGTGCAAGTCAAATGGTTCCTTGAAGTACTTCACCTCTGCCTTGGACTGTCCCTGTGTGACAACTACCAGGACACTGATGTAACTGCTGTTGCTAGGCTGGAAGGTGCAGATGTGGAAACTAGTATGATAAATAGGCTCAATTCTCTCTTCTTCCTCCTCACATTTATGCCAGGTTTGTGTTCTAAAGAATCAGGTAAAGAAGGAGATAATATATAAGATTCTCATTCTCCTGCGTTTGCTCTCAGACCTGTTCAAAAATGCCCCTTTTAACAGAATGTGGAAAGAGTCAGGGTTTGTCAGACCACCTCCATTCTCACCCTTGACCACCAAGGACTCAAGCAATGTAGCCACCTAAATCATGGCAGTTTGAGAGTGTGACTATTGGAAGTAAGGATGTCAATGGGATGGAGGCAGTTGTCTTATCACTTTAATAGAGTATTAATGAGTGGAAATGGGCAGATTAAATTTTCATGGCATAAAGTCAAATGACATTTCCTGATAATTGGTCGCATGTCAAACTAGTATTAAAGAGACAGTTAGAGGGATCACTTTAAAAGTTGGCAACCCTAGCTGAGAATGGGTCTGGTCAGTCAGCTGGGAAGAGAAAGGGTGAAGTCCACTTTTCTCAGGAAAAATTTCAAGGGTTTACCAAAGGACAGTAAAGAGAATGGCTGTTCTGTGGAGATCAGAAACCCTAGTTGGGGGAAATTCATTGGGGGGGGGGGCAAACATTTGTAAAAAGGGGGCAGGTTATGTTGTTTATTCCAAGCAAAGTTCACCTCTGAGGAGACTTTCTCAATGATAATTCAAGCTATGTGTATTCTAGGCATGTGAAAATTTAGGAAGTGAAGGGAGACTGGATATTTGGAGTGGTGGGATGGTATGGTGCCCTCATGGGGGAGGATATATGGCCTCTTCCCCATTTCATCCTCACAGTAACCATGTGGAGTAGGTTAAACTGAGAGATTATAATTGGCTTCATGTGTGACTGGGGATTTGGATGCAGATTTTCCTGTCCTGGTATGACACTCTGCATGACACACAGTGGAGTGCTAGTTTGGTGTTGCAGTAGGCACAGCAACAGTATATGTGCACTGAGCTGCCATCCCGTCCTTCTGTCACCTTGTGCTGCTGCTGTTATCTTCTGCCCAGTACAAGACGCTGTGAGAGGGTTCGGGCTCTGTGGGCTCCCAGTCCCACTGGCAGTGCAGTTGGTGCAAGTCAGGAGTGAAGCAGTGCAGGTCAATTTCCTCTGGCCAGAAGAGAAAGCAGAATGAGGTGTGAGATAGCACTTTCTTGAAGTATATATAGGCCAAACGAATGTTTCAGCTATTATTTGGCATCCATTTTCCCAGGCAAGGCCCTATCACACAGTGGACAGTGCCTGACTCAGAACACTAAACTTTGACCCTCCTCTGGTCAGCCCAGACAGTGCCTTAGCTCCTTCCCCAAGATGGATATTTTATCTTCCCACCTTCTCAGTGAACATATTACTCCTCCTGCCTCTAAAGGATCTTATTTTCATATGTTAATTCATAACAGCAGAGGTAAAACAAAACAAACATTCATGTAAAGCTTTAACATTTGATATTGGTGAGGAAAACAATACTGCTGGGATACTGATGAGGGGCATGGGTATCTCTCCCTGGGCAACAGGGCGTCATGTACTTGCCTTCAAGATATCTTGTATTCCAAAACTCCCCTCAGCCTCGTTCTTCCGTGCCTTCCTAAGGTCCTATGGATACTGCTAGGCTAGCCATTCACGCCCTACCATGTGAATATCGGTTCATACACCCTATCTACTAAAGGCATTACTACCTGCTGTTCCGTGCCCCACCCTGCCCTTCTGGCTTCATGACCCTCATATGTCTGCAATTCCCATTGTCAACTCCCAGGGCACAGTCCACTCCCTGGCCCCCTTGGCTACAGGATGGCAAGAAAGGCAATGTTATGTCCGCTGACCGCCACCAGGGGCCAGAGAATACGCCTGAGCTTGACTCTGTAGGAACAATGGGGACAAGGCTCCTAGTCTCTCCACTTGGGAACCAACAGGACCGTGGCGGGAGATTTGAACCCACCAACAGGACCTAGGGGGGTGTCCCCAGGTGTGTACATAGTTGGCCAGCTGGCCAGTAGTTGTTGCCTTTGTTGTGTACTAGTAAACCATGCTGATCGCTACATCCATCTCAGTGGTTTTTACATGCGTCTAACCCACTACAATGGCAACGAGGATGGGATCCCGCTGAGCATTCCAGCCGGGCTGACGGGACTCCGCGAGGGAAGACAATGCACCGCTACCTACACTCCTCCGATCAATGAGCAATGAGGGTGAGCAAGCCGCTTCCCAGCCACAGCCCCGACCGATCAGCACAATGGCCGTTGCTCCGGGATCAGGGCTGGTACTGCCATTTGATACAGCCCGTCCGCAGCAATGGGGAGACTGGATCACCGGCCTGAAGTCAGTCCTGATATTCTATCAGGTGTTGGATGAGGCCAGGAATAAGGGCCTCCTACTCGGGTCCTGCGGGCCCGCCATCGTAGAACTGGCCCAGTACCTACTCTCCCCCAAGAAGCTTGATGACTGCACCTTTGATGAGATCATCACTGCAGTCCAGAAGCACTACACGCCCAAGCCGTCGGAGATGACGTGCCACATGGTGTTCCACCAGTGGAGCTCCGCCGCCTGGCATCAGAGTGCAAATTCGGAGCACACTTGGACACGGCCCTCCGAGACCGTTTCGTCACAGAACTCCGGGAGGAGAAACTACGGCAACACATAATGGAGGGTGAGACGGTCACGATAGCATCGGCCATCGCCACCACCACTGAGTGGGAAAGGTCCCACCCAGCAGCCACCACCACGCACAAGGCTGCCATCACCATGCCGGGTGACCCTGAGGACGGAGAGGTCCACTGCACCGCATGCAAACACGCAAGCTCCGCACCGCACTCCAGCCTCGCATGCGAGCTCCGCACGCAAGCATCCCAGCTCAGCAGCCCTAGAGTGCGCCAGCTGCAGCGACAGGCACGAGAGGAAAACATGCAGTTTCTGAGATGCCACACGTCGAAACTGTGGGCACACAGGCCACATTGCCCGGGTATGCCACTCAAAGGGAACCAGCCGGGCCCAGCCACCGCGTCACAGAGTGGATGCCCACTTCGAGGATGACGCAGCAGCGGAGAACCTCTACCACCTCACACATGCATCGGAACAGGTACTGAAAACTCCCCGGCCAATCATCCACCCCTAAAATACAATTCAGTGTAAAAATCGAGGAGTCCCCATGCCTTATGGAGATAGACTCTGGCTCCGCAACCTCAATCATTTCCGAGGTCACACTCAAACACTTATGCCCTAAGGGGGGACCCCGCTTGCGCCCATCCCCAGTGACGCTCATGGACTTTCAGCGGAACCAGGTGCCGATTAAGGGGGTCGGGAGTTTCAGAGTACAATACCGTGGATTTAAGGGCTGTCTGGATGTGATTGTGGTAGAGGGCGACCTGGTCAGCTTGCTGGGTCGCACCTCTATTGAACCCCTGGGGATTTCGATCGAGGGAATCCAGCTATGCACAGCCCATGATTTCCACGGAATATGCCGTGATTTTCTCGCCGTTTTTTATGACTCTCTGGGCCGTTATCCAGGCCCCCCGGTGTCCCTGCGGCTAGACCCCAAGGTGGCCCCCATCCGAATGCGTGCCAGGACGGTTCCATTGTCGGTCAAGCAAAAAATCGATAACGGAACTGGACCGCCTAGTAGCTCAAGGCATCCTGGAACCGGTCTCCCACATGGCGTGGAAGACCCCCATAATCATGGTAGAAAAGTCAAACGGGGCAGTCCGCATCTGCGTGGACTACAAATGTACGCTAAATAAGGCGCTACAGGACCATGCCTATCTGTGGTTAGCCACGTACTGGCTACAGGACCATGCGGTACCTGTGGTTAGCCACGTACTGGCCACCTGGGGGGGGGCAAAGATTTTGGGAAACTTGATCTTGCCTGGGCTTACCAGCAGTTGCCGGTAGATGAGGTGACTGCTGAGGCGCAAACTATAGTGACCCACTAGGGGCAGGCCCGTAGCTAGGACATTTTTAGTGGGGGGCCCTGGGGAAAGTGGGGGGGGCCAAAAGCCCCACGCATGTGCACTGACATCACAAAAAGTGCACTGACATCACAATAAATAAGAAATCAAATAAAAATAAAATATGCTCAGCACTGAGATGCACCCCACTCTCCCTCCCTGATGCCTAGCCAAGGCATGGATAGAGGGCTCCCAGAAAGGGAAAGAAATTGAAAAAAGGAAAAGAAAGAAATGGGGGAAAGGGAAACAAAAAAAGCGAAGGAAACAAAGAAAGAAAGAAATGGAAGAAAGGAAAGGGAAAGAAAATGAAAGCCTCTGTGCATGTTTCTTTCCCCCCAAGTTCCAAATCCCCCCCCCACAGCAGTTAAAAAGGAGCTTGAATGCTTACACTGTAATGTTTCCCTTTGGCTGTGGGTTCCCGGGTCTACTCACTGAGCCACCTGTTCTCAGGTCCATTCAGCATATACAAAACGAAACTGAAACAAGAGCTCCATCCAACAGGACCAAACCAAATCACACAGATATTAGGGGAAGAGAGCAGACAATTCCACTACATGTATACAATGAATATACCACAAGATTACAAGAGCAAGTCCCTTTTTGGGGTGGGGGAGTGAGAGAGCAACAGAAAATACACTGACGGGCTGTTCTCTCCCCTCCCCCCCGCAGAGGCAGATGGGGAGGCCCCATTCAACCCAGTGAGTAATACTCCTGCAGGGCCCCTGGAACTGGCTTTTGAGCAAGGGAAACCTTTACCTTTA